CTTCCCATCTTCCCATATATCTTCCAAGAGGAATAACATTTGGTTAGGTGTTATATATATAATTGTATATATATATATATATATATATATATAATATGATTGTTAAGAAAAAATCGACGACTCCAGGTCAATTGTAGAAACACACAATGTGTAAACGGTAATGTTGGATCACCCTGTGTATATCGGATCGAAGTATCGTGCTCGATTTACTCGCTTCAATCATCGAGCGCGCGAGCTTCCACGAGCGCGGGAAAAACGCGGACTTCTGTATATTGCGCGCTTCTAGTAGTAGTCCGGCAGCTTCATCGGTTACCGAGAGACCGACGCGTTAATTACTTTCGTGTTTCAGGGTGTGCAAACACGCGGCTGGATACGCGCGAATCACCGTGGATGTGTTTGTAAAAGGAAGCAGATGCTTAGTTAGCGTCTTCTACCTCTGTCGTTCTTTTATTTTCACGAATCATACACGAAATCTTTAACTTTTTTTCGTTTCGAGACAATTTTGCGAATATTCGCACAATTGAATCGACCAACCTTTTTTATCGGTCTCGAAATGGAAATTTCGAGAACGTCGAATGTCCAAATCACACACAAGCTAAGAATATATCAAATATTTGTATATTCTAACTTATTTAAACTGCTTAGAATATTCTTCAAACAATATCCTATATCAAGAAGATATCGATCTCAAGTGCATACTCACCATTATCCCAAGCGGCTTCCTTAGTCCTAAGTAATGCAGCCAGTCCTATGTTATCTTTGGGCATGACTCGATTCAACATGTTGTCCGAACCCTCCGCGTTCGCCATCGCCAATTGATTGAATTCAACTAAATGCTCCTTTATCAGAGAAAACCTGCAAAAAAAGAAAGAATACATGAGAAAAAGGTAAAAAAAAATTTGTCTCGGCTAAATATATTTATTAAGTTGCTTGTTTATTTTTTGAGTTCTTAAATTTGTTTAATATAAAAATCAATTCCATTCACGCGCGAATAAATTCGAGAAAATATATGTAAAGGAATCTTAATGTGGACTGTGGAATAGCAGGGCTACTCTTCTTAGGATTAAATGTAGTATCGCGATATGAGATTAAATTCTCTTTTCGTTGCATCAAAGACCGTAGTGTCAATTGTCATCGCAGCTACGATAGCGTGAGTCACGAATCGCGCGAAAACTATGTGTCGGGAAAAGAACTCCTGGTCCTTTCTCAATCGATCGTTTAAGTCCTAGTAAAGGACCGGCGAGACTCAATTTCGTCCCATGGAGACGTAGAGAGAGACTTGGCGAACGCGCTCGCAGTACAACGTTAGATACGACGAGACGTAACGTCTTGTCGGTATAGGACGGATTTTCGTCGCAGCCAGGGAAAGGCGTGTCACGTACGCGATGTAGAATGCCCTGGACCTTTTCTCTCCTTTTTCTTACTTCTGATATGTGCGGCACGTATGCTTGAGAAATATATTCTTCGCCGAATACCCATTACGAGCCATCATCCCCCCATCCGTTTCCGGGCCAGCCTCTCCGTAGTCGTAAACAAGATTGAATCAACGTCATCCGTAGTCGCTCCGAAAGAAAGAGGATTGAGTTAAGACTGGCCAAAAATAAGAAAAAGGATCGCGATGGAAACTCTGAATGCCTAATTGATTTCCCGCTGTCTGAAATATATCCAACTCACTTTTTCGGTTCACCTTTGAATTGAAAAGACAGTTCCCTCTTCTGAATATGAAGATTAAAAAAAATATGATTTTATATAATTAAAATCTAAAAATATATAAGAAAATATAATGTTTTATACAAAGATTGCAATTGTTCTTCTTCATTCCGCGAAAGAATAAAAACTTAACGCGCTCGAAAAATATTTATCGTCTAATGGATTGTAGAATTTTATCGACGTTGTCGTGTATTGCGCGAACATTAAACTCTCTTCTTCCATATTTTTTCTCTCCTTTTTTTAAGCGGCACTTCGACATTGCGCCGTATAATCCGCGAGGAGGCAATAAAGCCGGGAATGATCGAGGGGCGAGCGTCGAAGGCGGAAATTGAACGCGAGTTGAACTTTACGCTCATCGCGCGAGCGTTGATCAGGTTCGGTCGATTTGGTCGCGTTGTTCAGCCGGATTGAAATCGATGGTCGTGTCTTTGCAAGTCGTAAAAGCAAGACCGTAAACTCCTTCTTCTTTTTCCTTCTCCTCATCACCGTCGGCCGAGGAAATTCATGGCGAGGCGACGAGAGAGGGAAGAAACGTCGAGCGAAAGTCGCGCGAATCATGTCGCGGTCTGACGTCGCAGTAGTACGAGCGCGTTTTAGTCAGACAAATGCAGCAATCTCGAATTCCTATGCGCGGAGTGACAATTTTCAGCAATTTTCATATTGTTAAACCACGCGGAATTCTCTTTAATGACATATGTCTCTTAATAAAAAATAAAATATCTCGAAAAACATTTTTATTCAAGATACGATTCGTTAAATAATTTCATTCAAAATTCAGTTATATATGCCAATAACTCAAAATATGAATATTCCAGATTAATTAAATACAGAATGTTAAAACGATGCGGTAGAGGATTAAAACGATGCGTATCCTACTGCGAGAGAGAAGGAAGGGGGGAAGGGAAGCTCATTCGTCGCCATCGGCCTTAATATTGTCGCACAGAGACACATTTACTTTGCTCGAGCTATTTACGACGGGGTGGGTTATAAAGTGAACCGTTACACATATGTATAGGGGCGCATTAATCGTCGCGCTCGTGGTTTGATAGCCCCCGGGGTTGGCATTGCGACGCGATATCGCGGAGACCTGCCATTATGTCACGAGATACTCTGAAAATAAGCATTAGTCGAAATAGATATCTCGGGTAGCGACCGGCGGCCGTGATGATTAATGCATCATAGACGCTGTGCAGCTGCGACATTCCATTCGATGCCGTCGCAAAGGCAATTTGTGTGTATCGACGTTGCCGCAACATGCCCGGCAATAATTTCGACGCCGCGTATATCGGGTCATTGAAATCTGAACGTCATATTTAAGCGTGTAACGTAAAATTATCGGATTTTCCTCTCTTTTAATATCAAATCTATTGGTAATCATTTTACGTATGTAAATATCGATGCGATTAAATCTTTATTCATGCTTATTTAAGATTATTCATTTATTTATTATTCGCCGATTTTATTATATCTCTGTGATTTTATAGCCTCCAAGACCTTTCTCTATATATCCTCAAACGTAAATAGTATTTCATAAGGGAAATCTATCGATTTCCGGTTAATTTGTCAAATACAAAAAAAGACGCGTTCGTGAAAGCGACGCGTTTGCTTTTCTATTAAACACGACGAACGGCGATTTACGACGCGCGTTACTATCTGACGCGATATTGGATTACCATGACGTTATTACACGCCAGACATGCGCGCGACGCTTTGTTAAATTACGAGCGGACGCGTCTTTCATCCCGCTTTAAATTAAACGTCGCGCTTTGGGAGATCTCAGCTCTTTCCGGTATCGAGGCGATGATAAGCGGAACCGGCTTTATAATTGATTTCGCAAAGGCGGTGACGATAATCTTTGATGTAATAACTGAATATCGAAACGTAAAATCTTGTGAAAACGATGACAACGAATAATTAAAAATCACCGGCTGGCTTTTTTATCAAATCAACGAAGCGTTTTCATATCAAATATTTCATATTTATATCGTTACTCTTATATAACTATATTATTTTTTTAAATTAAAAAAGGAAATACAAATACAAATAAAATCATACATACGAGCTTAAAAAATAATTACAAAATATATTTTTAAAAGAATTGTATAACTATACATCGAAGTAATTGGTTATTATTTAAAAACAAAGCTTCCTCTATGAGGAAGCAAAAAGCAATCGGTTATTAAATTTTTTTAATTGCTTTGCTTTTGTCGTATATATGTGTGCGTTATGAACCTGATGAATGGAACTTTTGAGAAATTTCAGGGCGCATTCGCTCACAAAGTATTCGATCGCGCATGATCGATAACTGTATTAAGTCTGACGGAGTTTTCTGTTACGCTGTTGTGCGTTTATTAATTAAATTACCACGCCTCTTAATAAATCGAGGGATCGCCGGAGAATCGAAACACACACACATTCTCTCTCTCTCTCTCTCTATCTATTTATTTATCTATCTTTCTCTCTCTCTCTGTCAATAATCCTTTTTCGTTTTCTCCAACGCGGGGCAATTAGAATGCTTGTCGTGATGGGAAAATATGCGGAGGAAAATGACGAATTAATAGAACATCCTTTCATACTTAAGCTATATGCAATATAAAAATTCTCACATGTAATAATTCTCAACATTTAAATTAAATTTCCTAAAAAATCGATTATCTATCGTCGCTTATCAACGTTATATATATATTTTTCATTCTTTAATTTTGTTTTTTTTTCTTCTCAGCGTATTATAAAAATATAATTATAAGAGATATTATAAGTTACATTATAAAATTTATAAAATCGTTTTTGGAAAATATCACTGAAAAATAACAAAGTATTAAAATTCATATATAATGTTTGTAAAGAGAGATATTTTCAGGTAGTAGATAATAAATTAGATATCTTTATCTTCGAGTTTTTATGGCAGACACTGCAATATATTTGCTATTTTCGTCCATTTCGGGGCAACGAGTAACGAAACAGAGGAATGCACTTACTTGGCGGTCCTATAAAAAATGGCGCAGCCGTCGACGTACTTGCGGTCGTTTTCCGCCATCGTTTTCGCGCGGGACTTGGGCGAGAATATGCCGTCGTAGCCGTCGTGTTTAAGCTCCGGCAAGAAGAAATTGTAGAATTGGTCCGTCTCGACCTCTTGCAGGCTGATGATGTCCGCGGCGTAATGCCGTATCTCGTCGAGGATACCCTTCTTCCGATACTCCCAGTCCAGCGCCCAGCTCGGACAATAGCCGTACATCTGCCGTGTCGCGTACTTGTCGCAAAGCACGTTGTAACACATCACCGTAAATATGCCTGTAACACACAATCGACAAAATATAAATATAAATATTTATTTTTGACATTTTATCATTTAGAAATAGAAGATACAAAGGGGAGAAGACTATTGCGTTTCACCTCCTATTTCTCTATATTTCTTTTTTATGTCTCAAATCGTATTTCACTCGCAAAATATTTCATTTTACTCCAGTCACAAAATAGAATGTGATTTCTTTTGAACTTAATTAAATTATTTCTTTCCCGTCACAAATAATGGAGGATTTTAAGTACTCTGTGAATCGACGCGCTCGTTTCTTTCGTAATTTTAATTTTGCGTATTCGGTTCGTAAGCCGTTCTATTTTCCTCGAGCTTTCTCTCTCTCTCTTTTTCTTTTTCCCGTTCTCCAATTCTCTTCCTGTTCTACGAGCTGTAAACACGAGCAGAGGGATACGTGTTGCTTATTGTTAGACACGCGCGCGTGCGAGCGAATGGATTCTCGCGGTCCGGAATAAGAGGATCAGCATAAAGCGAGCGAGCTGTCTTGCCGACGTCACCCGGTTGTCTGCATAAATTTCCGACGTCTTTTCTCTGTCTCTCTCCTTTTGTTTCTCGCAACCTCGCGAGTTATCCGTCGCGTGTAGTATGATACCGTGATTAGAACGCGCGAACGCGAATCATCAAGTGCATACCGATTGCATATCACGAAACGTCTTTTCTTACCATTCCAAACGTTTACGGCTCAAGTAATAACGGCTGTCTGTTTCTACTTACGTTTCTCGTCTTCCTTACCCGCATCAGAAAACTTTAATGCTCGCGGATTGATTCGATCTGTTATCAGGGTCAATCTTTCCGTTTTGCAATACTAATAACCAATTCGTGTTCACGGACGTGGTGAGATTTCGGGACGTTTCGATGCTCTTGAAAAACACATTTCGCTCCGATACGCTGGAACTAATTCAAAAGCGGCCCGGACGATAGACGGTCGAGCTAAACCAGTATAAATCAGTGGTTCTATTACTGCGAACCCGATTGCGAAAGAGAGAGAGAGAGAGAGAATATGTGTGTGTAAATAATTGAACCGCGGTATACCCCGCAATCCAATAACGCGTACGTGTACTCTGCTACGTTAGTAACTCGAAGATATCGGAGGCGCTATCGAGAGAGAGAGAGAGAGAGAGAGAAACGGTTAGGTAGGCATTACGGATTCGCCCCAAACCGTCGCTCCCAAAACGCCGTTAATCATTCAGCCGTACGCGAATCGGTCCCGCGTTGCCTTCGCAGCTCGATTCGAGAAGAGGATAAAGGTAGAATGATGCTGTAGTATCGAAACACTGACACTTCGCTTTGCGCATTGTGAATAATGCGATACAACGTACACCTAATAATTTAACGTCAATTTAATGCTTAATGAGGCAGGAATCAAGGATGTTTCTAATTTTTATTATCAACTACTATCACTGTAAAGCGAGATGTAAAACGTAAGATAAACGCACGAAATGTAAGACAACATTAATTATATATAGACGTAGGGCGTTCCTGGGGCGGCGCGAGCGCTTTTAATCTTTAATTATCTGTTCCCGACGCGGCGATAGACTCGGTCGATAGGCCGATTTTTTTATTCCCGCGATAAATACGATCGTTAACGATCCGTCGATCCCCCCCCCCCCCCCGAGTCTCGTTCATTCCCGAGGTATTGTTAACGCGACCATCTCGATGAGTCCTTCAGCATTGGCCGACTAAGTCGGCGATCGTTTTAACAGGGGATTATTCGGATTCGATCTTGCGTGAGATATGCGTCGTTAATGGACGCCCCGCCGTTTTCCCTCCGTGCCACAAGACCGACAAGATGGAGATAATGGCGCATATATTTCGGATTCGAGAGGTGGTCTTATCGCTTGTGAGACAACCGTGATAAGGAAGGTGACAGTACGCTCTTATTATAATTTTTTCTTTGATATTTTATCGAAGCTCTCTCGCAGAATATTAATATTCTTAAAAATACTTTATCATGAGATATTATTCTTAATTTCCCAAATATGTAGTAAATTTACATAAAAATGTGACAATATAAATAATTAATTTAACGAGATTTTTAAAAAATGTACATTATTTTCCTATTTTTTCTCTTTCTCCTCTCTTCCTCTCTCTTCTTTATTCTTTTTAATCTTAAGAAATATTTCCTAAATTTTTCGAAGGTCTTAACTTTGTTATACATTTTATAATATTAACGGCGGGTGTGTTTTTTAGGCACTTTACCTCCGGCAAAACCACTTTGGAGAGGATTAACTTAATCCGAGGTTTACCCGTCCAAACTGATAATGACCAAAGTTATCGAATAGTTATAGTACACATCGCTACGATCTATGACCATATCCCCGAGGTACCGAAACCTGATCACTTCTCCAAGTACGGCGCATTTATTGGTAACGAACTAAGTCAAACAAACCCAAGTTTCGCCAACCGATATTAATTATATATATACATATATCTACGCTTCTGCATCCGGTATGACAGTATTTATAGTACCGTCTGTTGGGATAAACGCTCTTGGCTATATTGTATCAAGAAATTTATATATGTAATGTAGTAAATTTCTACATTATTTTCTTCCGTTCAATAAATCACTTATATTACACACTTCAATAGAAATATAATTTTTCCTTTTAATTATATAATTTTAATATTAATAATTTTAATAAAAAAAATTTAATTTTGACAAAATTTTAAATAGCGCAAATAAATATTTTACCAACAGTTTTATTGATTTGTCAGAGATGTTCTAATAAAATTTCCTGATATTCCATTTATATTCACTCTTAAGAGTTTCAATTTTCATTAACAACTCCGGACGGTAATGAGGCGAATGTTCAACGGTTAACGAAACGACGCGACGACGACGATAGAAGTATTCGCGAAGTAGTGGCGAATGCGTTTGAGCAAACTTCGAGTGGTAAGATGTTCCGCAATATCGTAAAGTTTGACGAGCACGGTTTGCTCGAAGCATAGTCAGCAGCCAATCTGTTAATCACTTTAATCTGTGAAGTGTTTTAGTCGCTTGGAGGAATATACTCGGAAGGAACACTTCCCAAACTTGGACCGTCGGGCAAGTGACAAGTACAGACAGCAAACTTGTGAATGCAATACAGATACATGTTGAATTTGATAGGATAAATGCGCGCACAGCGTCACAGCGAAAAAAAAAAAAGCTTTTAAGACAAGTTTAAAAAAAATCATTCGTAAACTTTAATCTTAATATTTGCGGGGAGAAATCGGTATTAATTAGAGTTGCACAAAATTCAAGACAAGACAATATTCATAAAAATATTGTATTGGTATCGAAAATTTTTTGAAACTTAAATCTTGTCTTCATCTTGAGTAAATCTTGGTAGTAAAAATTTCGTCTTGCATTGTCTTTATTTTATTTATTGTATTAATTATTTCTAGATTTGTTAATATAGATGTTTTTATTTAGTAAAAAAAATTCTTGAAGTTTGTATAATATAGTGAATTTTTTTTCATTTAATTTACTCATAAGTATACATATTTTAGCTTTTTTTTTTTTTTTTTTGAAAACCTATAATCTTGACAAAATCAATCATCTTGACAATCTTACTCCTGGTATTATCTTGATAACTAATAAAAAAATCTTCTCTTGATCTTGTCTTGAATTTCGACAAGACAAGACAATATCAAGAGTAATCTTGATATCTCGTGCAACCCTAGTATTAATCGTTGAGTTTGTTAAACATTTGGTAAAATATGACGTTAATTTTATATCCATACTGTATAATTGTATAATACTGTAATAAAGTAAGGAAAGAGAGACAAGTGTACGGAAACAAGTATATAGGGGAGAACGGCGGCGGTAGTCAATGGCAGCGTGTAAGCGGTGGTCCATTCACGACTAGGCATCCTCTCCGAGGTCAACGATGCCGCGCCAAGCCGCGACCTGCCCCAAGAGTCGCCAAACCAGTCCGCGAGAGAGAAGATCCGAACAGGTTACCTAATTTACACACGCCAAAGAATTCGCCGCTCTCTCTCTCGCGTGCTGCGCGATCGTGTTTGTACCGGGTGTACGACAAATAAGCTGAGATTAATAAAGTTAGCAGACTGCTTATACGTTGCCCTGCATTTTTAATCTGCTGAAATATTTTTTTTATAAGGAATATAGTTTTGAACTAAACTTTAGTCAAAAAATATCTACACGTAATTTTAACATTTGTTGTACAATTTACGAAATATCCCCTTTCTAAAATTTGACTCACAGAGCCGAGTGAAATTTCCTAATCGGGTCAACTTCACACAAAGATACTTGCGACAATAAATAAGCGACTTTGCGATGCAACAAACTCGTGCAGCTGTACGCCGAAATAGTAGGCTCGTAAATCGGTATTACGGTGAATCTCCAGTTCGCACACAGCGCGAGATGGGATATTTACAACGTAAAAATCTACCGCGAATAGTAGTTGGCCAACCCGTCGAAATTCAAGAGGCCGACCCAGTTTCCAGGCACGGAGGTATTCGTAGATCGAAATGTCGTGGTCGATCCCGGCGATTTTGCAAATGCATAAACGCGGTATGCCTCATAGAAAGGTAACGATATAAATCGACGGAAAAGAAGTTCGCCCCTCTGGAACGTACATTCGAATGAAAGTAGCGCATATTTCTATGCAATACTGCGAGGTATAAATGTATTTTTTTTTACAACGCTCTTACGCTCTATGTTGCAGCATATAACGACTTCTTTTTTTCTCTATCTTTAAAAAAATGTTTTTAGATTTTAGTAGAAATTATGTAGCGTATACGTGTTATTTTGAGTTATAATGTAAATTTAATATTGAATAAAATAATACCTATCAAAATTAATAATAATTCATCTATTAATTAACAATATTTATCAGTGTAGGTAGAAATAATTTTTTTACAAATTAATAAATATTTTATAACCTTTTTGCTAAATCCTATTTAAGTTATTTACGTAAGCTTAATAAACGAAAAAGAATGATGTTGACTATATGTGTGTGGCGTGTAGGTG